TATAAGGAAAAAAATTTGTCAATTGAAATTCATAATTTTACACATCACTTATCTGACACTATATTGAGGAAAATTGAAGGTAAGGGATAATGAAAGGGATCTAAATCCCAGATATATACACCGATCAACGATGTTTTTTGTAAAACCAAAGGAAGTAATGATATTATTGAACTTAAGGTATCATTGTCGAGAAACTTGTTTAAGTCCATATATTGACTTCTTAAGTCTACAAACCATGTGTTATTTGTCCTTAATAGAGAATCCTTCAGGCTGATCCATATAGATTTCTTCCTCTAAATTCTCATTTAGAAAAACAGTTTTCACATCCATTTAGTGTAACTCAAAATCATAATGAGTCACCTATGCAATAATATATTGAATGAGTCCTCCTTAGACACATGAGAAAATGTCTTTTTATAATCAACGTCTTGTTTCTAAGTGAAAACTTTGACCATAAGTTTGGCTTTTTGTCACTCAATATTGCCATTGGAGTTGCGTTTGGTCTTAAAAACCCATTTACATGCGAATTTCTTCAATCATTTAGGCAATTCAACGAGATCCCAAATTTCATTTGGTTCCATTGATTTCAATTCATCATTCATGACATCAATCCATTTAGCAGAATCATCACTTTCTATGGCTTGTGAAAATGAAATCGAATCTCTACATGTCCTTATATAAAAGTCAGATTCTTGTAGATATATTACATAATTATCCGGAATAGCTGGTCTTTTTTCTCTTTAAGACTATCTTAATACTATTCCTTGTTATTCTTCTACTATCAGTTCAATGGTGACAACCTCATTATGGAATAGTTGATCATCTATTTATTGTTCAACGTTGTCAGATCGTACAACAATTGTAGGAATAACATCATTAGAAGTTATTGGTGGTGGTACTTTCTCCCTAACTTCGTCAACAATCACATTTCGTGATTTATCATTCCCACTTATTTCACCATCCTCAATGAATCTTGCATTACCAATTTCAACAATTATCGTACTATAGGTAGGAACAGTAAAACATATATACCCTTTGGATTTTTTTTGGTAACTAATATAGTAACTACTGATTGTTCTAAAATCCAATTTTTTTCATGTGGATTACAAATCATAGCCTCCGCTGGACAACCACAAACATGCAGATGTTTCAAACTCGGTTTCCTTCCTATCCACAATTCAAAATGAGTCTTTGGAATTGCCTTACTAGGAACCCCATTTAATAAATATACAAAGGTCCTAAGAGCTTCCATCCACAAAGATGAGGGTAATGAGGAATTACTAAACATATTCCTAATCATGTCCATTAAAGTACGATTACGCCTTTTAGTTACACTATTCTACTGTGGCGTACCAGACATAGTGTATTGCACACAAATGTCATGTTTTTCAAGGAGTTTAACAAATTGAAAAGAAAATTTTCCTAAACCGTCATACCTTCCATAATATTCACCACCTCTATCTAATATAATAACTTTCACCTTTCTATCTAACTATCTTTCAAATTTAATAATATACACCTTAAGGGCATTCGCCGACTGAGATTTATCATGTAATAAATAAATATAACCAAAACTTGAAAAGTCATCTATAAAGGTAATAACGTACTTTTCTCCACTAAAAGATGGAGTGTCAAAAGGTCCACTAAAAGATGGAGTTCCGAAGAGTTCATTACTTCTCGTGGGCCCTTTCTTGGTGTGTTTGGTTTGTGTTCCCTTAATACAATCTATACACACCCCGTGATTAGTGAAATCTAGATCCAGAAGAATCTCACCCATCACCAATCTCTCTAACATTTCTCTAGATATGTAACCTAGTCGTTTATGCTACAAGTTAAAAGAATTTTCATCCATCAAGTTACATTTAGTTCCAACGTTATGATGCAGAGTTAGAAGAGACTCGACAAATAGGTCATCAAGTTTCAATTTTTACAAACCATCATGCAGAATACTAGAACCAATAAAAGAGGTATTATTAAACAAACTAATACTTTTATTACCAAATCTAAGATAATATCCATTAACATCAAGTCTAAATAAAGAAACTAAATTTTGAGAAATAGAAGGAACATTAAGTGTCTAAAACAAATCTGAATGATGACCGATATCTATAAATAAACAAAAAGTCCCAATAGTTTCAACTAGAGCTTTGACTTTGACTTGATTATCCATGAATATGAATTTCTCACTTGGATTTATAGTCAAGGTTGTAAGGAATCTTTGTATCGCATTTGAAACATGAATAGTAGCACAAGAGTCGATCCACAAAATATTTGAAGGAACTTCAGTAAGATTTGATTCGAAACATACAAAAACTAAATACTTACTTTTCCTTTCGAACCATGCCCTTCGCTGATGAAAATTGCTTGTCCTGATGAAAATTGCTTGTCCTTGAGAGTGTTAAATCTGAAACTACTTCCCAAGCTTAGGAAATCTATCAAATGGTAACTCGTTAAATACTGAAGTCATCTCTACAGAGAGACAAGGACAAATTTGAAAAGTGATATGATTTAAAATAATTTTTTTTTAAATTCCAAAGATATAGAGGTTTGGTAAAAATTAAGAAACAATATTAAAATAAACTAGATAATCTTTAAATTTTATTCCACCGTGAATATGAATCTTTAACCTAATTTATAACTCAGCCAAGATCATAATCAAATTCACTTCGACGAAAAATATTCGACTAAAATCAGAATTTAAAAAACATATATTTTAATGATAAAACTAATTAATGAAATAATTGATATCCTGTTGATTGCAAGGACTCTGACAATTACAAGTGTCAAATTTAATTGTCTAAGGTTCAGTAAAGATGTTTCCGAATCACTTATGTGTTCAAAATTAATTATTTCAATCAACAAAATAACTCTAAAATTCAATTAAATCTCAAACAATCTTTTTACATAAAATTTAATTAAAATTTGAATCAATTAAAATTATTTTTTTTTACATATTAAAATTTGAACTGATTAATTTTTTTAATATATTATAATTTGACCCGATTAAAATTCGATTTGAACTGATTAAATTTTATTTTTGTACGTATTAAAATTCGAGTAGATTTGAGTTTAACTTGAGATGTTAATGTCGATTAAAATTTGATTCGAGTTGATTAAAATTTATATTTTTTTACTTATTAAAATCCATACCAATTAAAATTCGATTAAAGTTGATTAAATTTATTTTTTACGTATTAAAATTTGATTCAATTAAAATTTATATTTTTTTACGTATCAAAATTCGGGCGGATTAAAATTCAATCCGAGTTAATTAAAATTTAATTCAAGTTGATTAAAAACGAATTTTATTCGCCTCAAATCGAATTTTAGTCTGCTCGAATTTTAATACGTAATTTTTTTTATAAAATATAGGATGTCTTATTGAAGATATGTTTATTTAGAGAGAGTGTGTATGAAGTTTTTTTAAAAATATATTATGAACAATTTAGTAAAATTATATTCTAGTAAATCTCTTTAATGGGTATTAGTAAAGAATCAGAAATTAGAAAGGATATTCTTAAAAATATGATAAATTAGATGGGGTGTAACTAAAATTTTTCCAATTTTGAATGAGAAGTAAGGGCGGGTTCAGTCAGAATGAGTCAAGCTAATACACGCAAAATACATACAGATAGATACACAAAACAACGTAGGCCCACCATGTGGGACGGTAGGAAGAGGACGTAGGAGCTCCATTCAAATAAAAACTGGGCCCTGTTAGCCGTCCTGTACGTAGCTCACCCTCTTCCCACGTGTTATACTCGCTCCTGACATATCACGGTTGTACTGAATATTTACTCCATCGGTTAACTACACTTTTCCCCTCAGAATTTCGACCCACATCTTATTTTGTAATCTATATTAGTAAGTTTCTCATATTATCCCTCAACTATTTCTATTAATTTTGCACTGTCCCAGAATAAATCCCCACGTCATGTTTTGAACTAAAAATATCTTGATATACAATTTAGACAAGTATTTTGTCAAGATAGTATTTTGCCTTCCTAGAAATCCATCCCTTCTGAAATCGGATAAGACATATATTATCAACTGAAAAGGATCTAAGTTCAATAGTACTTCCATGAAAGTCCGGTGAAATCTCATAGGTTCGAAACCTTTGGAAAGGCTAAAGAGACTATATTCTGATGGATTTAGAAAGTCCAAGACAGAGTAAGATAGACCATACTTTGGAGGGTTGCTTTCCTCTCCTATTAAGTAAAAGCAACCAAAATTTGGGAGAGGGAGAGTTAAATCTTTAACTTCAAAAATATAAAATTTCATTAGATAAAGAGTACCATTAAATCGAAGATCCGTTGATAGATCACAATCTATAGATGTTCAATTGGTTGTGTTTGAATCTGTTGCTGTAATCTATACCCATATGTACAAGAACAAAAATATAGCTTTTCAATGTTAATTTGGGAATTACTAAATTGATAACTATAATTAAACTTGTAATATGAGAAATGTTATAGATAGTTAAGAGGACAAAAAAATTGCTATTATATGTAAATATATAATGTGAAAAATATGATAGCTGAGGGGGTAAAAGTATAATTTTTTTTGCTGCCTCCAAGGCTTCCAAATTCAAAACTTCCGAGTCCATCTCTGTTATTTTTAAATTAATCTCTGTGTCAGTCTGAAAACTTGGACTTTTTACTGTTGCTACGCAGAGCATAGAGTGCTGAGAAAAAAAAAAGAAAAGAAATCTCAACCGTTGAACTCCGAAGCTTCCATGCGACGGAGTCTTCTTCACCTCACCTTGAAAACTCTATGGCTCTCTTCCTCACTTTCTCTCTCACATTCCTCTCCAATTTTAATGGCGCATAGTGATTGATTTTAGAGAGAGAAACATGTTCTAATCGAAGCTTTTATTGGATTTAGAGAGAGATAGAGAGAGGACGAGTTATTTTCAGATAACTTGTTAGTTTTCGAGGGAGAGAGAGAGGGGGGAGGGTTCTGATCCAGCGTCTGAGTAAAATTTAGAGAGAGGAAGAGAGATGAACGCTGTGGGGAGACAGAGATCTGGTACATCGGCGGTGCATCACCAGCGACAATATTCCGACAACTTTTTGGAGGCCTCATCCAATGGCCGATGGCTTCAATCAGCTGGTCTTCAACACTTTCAGTCCTCAAATAACTCTGTTCCTTCTCCACAGGTTCCGATTCTTATCGATTTTCTGTATTTTGAATAAATTGCAAAATAGTTATAGTATATCTATAGATCTGCCGCTAGATTTAGCAATTCGATTGTTTGAATTTTTTTTATCTTTTTTGACTGCGTTGGGACTAGGACTTTGGTTACTATGGTGGAGAAGGTCAGGGTACCAGAATGTATAGGAATGTGCAGAGGACTTTTACTGGAGGTAGTGATTTGTTTGCGGAGCCATTGACGCCGCCGGCAAATTCACGGCCGTTGGGCAATTGGAAGAATCGAGAGGAACAAGTTTCGCCTAATGAGTTCAGTCCAGGGCTGTTAGATCTACACTCTTTAGACACTGAGCTTCTACCTGAGGTGGTTTTCAAAGAATTTGGAGGAAAGCTTGCATTTTAATCTTGATTCTGTATTTCCTGCTTGTTCATTGATTAGTGAATTTCACATTTTCACTTGATAAAAATCTTTTATGAAAACGTAGAAGTTATATTGAATTGCATCTCTACGTCTTGCTAGTTTATGTGGAATTGAAGTATGACAAGAGGTATTTATAAGGAATTGTGCAATGTATCATTTGGTAACTTTGCTAAGATGATGCATTGCTAATAATGTACAGGAAATCTCGGGCTTAAGATGGAACTGTTAGTTTATTCAGTTTTTGTGGGTGGGCATGTGTGCGCTTGTTTTGGTTTTTTTGTTTGGGGGGGAGGGGGACCAATTGAGTTTGATGGAACGCTATTTATTGTTGAATCATGAATGAGCCAAATATTTGGATGATCCTGGCTCCTGTTATGTATCTTGACAATTTCATATGCTATAGCTTTTTGTTGGAAATTGATAACTTGTGTTACTTGGATTTTGGAGTCATAAGGTAACGTTGAGTAATTAGCGTTCACATTCATTTTTCTTTGCTGATATTTTTGTGAAACATATTGGTAGATGGCTGTTCCTGGTCATACCTCTTCTGTGTATCATGCTGGTCGGCGAGGAAGCTTTGATTATTCTGAGCCATACTTGGTGAGTAGCAAACAAACTGGTGGAGTTCGTGGAATGCCAGATAACAATCTTTTGAAAAGTTTTGCTCCAGATAAAGAGAAGACCAGTAATGTTGCAAAGATCAAAGTTGTGGTATGTTTTCAGTAACCCATTAACTCAATTTCTACAGTAGTATTCCATTGTCTTATCTTTCCACTGAACTCACTTTCTCGTGAAGCTGCTATTAGAATTGTCAGATTGATTGCTTAAAAACCATCAAGCTATTTCATTGAAATTGCTTGTTTTGCTGAGGAGAATTTTTTCAACCAGTAGTCTCTTACACCGAAAGATGTGTGGCTTCACTTCTTTTCCTGGAATTTGGTAATTGTGGATTGGTTGCAGGTGCGCAAGAGACCACTAAACAAAAAGGAATTGGCGAAGAATGAAGAGGACATCATAGAGACTCATTTCAATTCTCTTACAGTTCATGAAACTAAACTTAAGGTTAGGGTCGTAAACTGGTATACAGGCATCAGTAGTTTCTGTAGCACATGCCCATGCATGTAATTGATTATGCAAATCAATGATGCTAGTTCTCATTGCTCTTGCACTTTAATATAAATTCCTTTTAGTGTTTTGGTGCTTTGCATTATCCAGCTGTGAGAAAAATTTGTATTGCTACCTCATAATTTGGTGCTTCATGACGTTAGTTATCATTGCTCTTGCACTTTAGTGTAAATTTCTTTCAATGTTTTGATGCTTTGCATCATCCAGTTGTGAGAAAAGCTTGTATCGCTATTTCATAATAAGAGATTTGTAGTTAATGATTTCAAATATGGAAATGTCTCCATTGCTACTTAAATTATGTGTGATCATAAAATTCCTTATTTTTTCTTTGTATATTTATTTTATGCCTTCAAGTCTGCAGAATTCTGTATCCTCAGTTAATTTTTCTAGATATAGTTCTTTCCATTCAGCTCTCATGCTTTTCACTCTTCTTTATACCATTTAGTGTTTTGACTTGCTCCACCCTACCATTGAATTTGAGCTATTTCTAATCATCTGAACAATTTTGATTTTTTATTGTATCACCTATGACCATTTTAATCCTTAGATGCCCAGACTTCAGAATTATGAAGCCTTAGTTCTCTGTTTAACCCATTCCAAAAACTAGTCTGGTGGCTTGGTTGGGAACTCTTAAGGCCGTACTTATTATAATTTTTATTTTTTTTACCCAAAAAAGAAAGCCCCTCCTTTCTAAAAAAATTTTCTTCCTTCAAAATGCCCATCCCGATTTTTGAGTTTTAAAGAAAGCATAAAGAACCATAAAATTGCGGCACTCTTGCAGCGACCATTATTTGCTCCAATGAGACTTATGTTTTTGTTTCCCAAAAAAAATGTATGGAACAAAACATTGATTCCCCAAAAGTTAATATTCGTAAAAACAAGGCCTAGAAAGTTGGATTAATTCAAAACATCTGTCCACTTGGGGGTGGTTAAATCCTTTTCACTGGACTGCTCTTGCAATTTTCTTTTGTTGATATTCTCATACAGCTATCCTAGGCGTAGATGTGTTCAAACATATTCAGACTGTGTATGTGGAAGGATTTAAAATCATTCTCCTGCAGGTTGACCTAACAGAATATGTGGAGAAACATGAATTTGTTTTTGATGCTGTGCTGAATGAGGAGGTTTCAAATGATGAGGTGAGTACATGACACAAATAATGATTGAGATGAAAAGAAATATATAAAGTGCTTAGGGCTCTCATGATGGAAGCAATCTCATTGACCATTTGTTAGTTCGATAACTCATTTTGTTTTTATAGGTATACCGTGAAACTGTGGAGCCCATAGTTCCAATAATTTTTCAGCGCACCAAGGCAACTTGCTTTGCGTATGGGCAAACAGGTAAATGTTTTCTTTCAATTCGAAGTTAGAACCTCTTTATACTCGTTTAGAGAAAAATTATTTCTGCTCATATATTCTTGCATTTTTTTAATCGGTGGGGGAATTCTGATGGCATCCAGAGTCTGATTAATATGGACCTGCTTTTTTGTACGCTAGTAAAGCAGATGCTTCATTGTAATGTAAATTTACTGTTGCAAAACACATAGAGCATTTATATTCATCTTCACTTCATATTTCATTTAGTATACTGAACAATATTTCACCTGGGAGTCTACTCTGGAAGTAGGGGACAAGACTCTTGATGATTTTATTTATGCAAATGTAGATTTTGTTTGTGTTAGGGGTGCAGGTTCCTGTGTTTGGTAAATTGGGTTAGATCTTATTACTTATATTCATGGATAAGAAGTTAAAAGCATATGATATCTTTTACTTTTGTGTTTTGATTTCTTGAACCTTTCAGGAATCTAGAGGTAATGACAATATATTGTCGGATACTTCACTATGATCCAATCTGAAGTATTGAGCAATCAGTGTACACATAAAGCTAAAAATGGAAGGGTCAAATGAAGTTTCACAATTTTTGTTTCATTTTAAATCTCAAATTTATGCTGTATTTAAATCTCAAATTCACAGGTTTTATGCTGTATAATGATATGATCTTGGTGCTTGTTAGAGTTGTAGCTTTCTCTTCTTTTTTTTTAATTTTTTTTGGGGAGGGGGAGGGGGGAGAGTTGTAGCTTTGTCTTGATGCAATTGCTTCAAGTCAAACACTATTTGGTTATCCAATGAAATGAGTTGGATTCGCTGAGCAAATTTTTGTGAGTTCTATGTCCTTTTCTTGGCACAAGTAGAATGAGTAAATGTAGAACTTTAGAACTTGGAGCAGATATAAGAATGCTTTCTGTTTTCCTGTAGAAGCCAGTTAGTTTTTTATTGATCTTGTATTGTGTGAGGTTGGATTATGAGATCCTTAATTTTTCCCTCTTTTGAATAAGCTTCCAACTTACTGTTTGTTTACTTGTCTAGGGAGCGGAAAAACTTACACTATGAAACCACTACCCCTTAAAGCATCCCGGGATATCTTGAGGCTGATGCACCATACTTATCGGAACCAAGGCTTTCAATTGTTTTTCAGCTTCTTTGAGATATATGGAGGGAAACTCTTTGATCTCCTCAACGATCGGAAGTATGTTGTCTTACCATGTCCCCTTCTGGAATTTTAGTTAGCAGTTGCATACTTGCATTCTTTAGACTCTCATAATAACCGAAAGTCTTCTTGGGCAGAAAACTTTGCATGAGAGAGGATGGTAAACAGCAAGTTTGCATTGTGGGTTTGCAAGAGTACAGAGTATCCGAGGTGGAAACAATTACGGAGCTTATTGAGAAAGGAAGTGCTGCAAGAAGTACTGGCACAACCGGTGCAAATGAGGAATCCTCCCGTTCACATGCCATACTTCAGCTTGCTATTAAGAGGTCAGGTGATGGCAGTGGATCTAAGCCTGCTCGTGTCGTTGGCAAGCTCTCCTTCATAGACCTTGCTGGAAGTGAACGAGGTGCAGATACTACAGACAATGATAGGCAGACAAGGTATGGATCTTTTCATTTGCTTCCACCTTGGTTTTCCTGATGCAATCTATCCCTTATGAGTCTTAGAATTACCTTTTTTAAATCCAGATTAATATGTTAATTTCCAAAGAACACATTGAGTAACCAGTTGGCATGTTGGGCCTACATAAGTTACGATAGCCTTTGGCCAAAAATAAATGCCAGTGGATCATTATTGACGTCATCTGCTCATGAAGATTGGGAACTAAAATCTGGTTGCTGGTTTGGATGCAAATTAAAAACTAAGAATTGGGCACCTGAGTTCAAGGTGTAATGCTTGTTTCTCAGCCTCTTCTGTAGTGGAACCATAAAAAAGGATGATCTCCACTTGTGTGTTCTGAAAATTTACGATGCCATCTTAGTAATATAATTTCAATAATTTACTTATTATGAAATGTTTTCCTAAGAAAATCAAAGTGAATGAATTTTGAGTCAGCTAGTTTATAATCTCTTAATCATCCTACTCCCTTGCCTTGATAAACTCATATCTTACTTGTCTTCTTTTTTCCCTGCCCGTTCTTTTCTCCCTAAATTTAACTGCAATACTGGTGTTAGCCACAAAGAGCAGATAAAATGCTCAATTTGAGTGAAATTACTTGCACTTGATTGTCCCCTAATAAATGACTCTAGAGATTGAGTCATGTGGACTTCTTCTGCACCATTCCCTCGTATTCTTTTTTATGACAGCCAGACAAGTGCTCCGAATGAGACATAATCTATTTAGAGCTTGTGTACTTTCTTATTTGGCATTTCTAAATGTCTAATGCAGAATGGAAGGTGCTGAGATCAATAAAAGCTTGCTTGCATTAAAGGAATGCATAAGAGCTCTTGACAACGACCAGGGTCATATCCCTTTTAGAGGCAGTAAATTAACTGAGGTTCTGAGGGATTCATTTGTTGGAGATTCTCGGACTGTTATGATATCTTGCATTTCACCTAGTTCAGGATCATGTGAACACACTCTCAACACCTTAAGATATGCTGACAGGTACTCATTATCCTTTTATAATATAAAATTTCTGGCAGGCATGTTATTTGTCTACCCCTTGGCTGTTGTTACAATTTTGGTCCTTTGGATTGACTATTTTTTACAATGTTTAGGGTGAAAAGCCTTTCAAAAGGGAACAATTCCAAAAAGGACATCTTATCTTCGACTTTAAACCTGAAGGAATCAATGACTTTACCCTTAGCTTCGGTTTTGCCACCTGCATCAACTTTTGAAGATGACATAGCAGATTCATGGCCTGAACAAGCAGATGGAGAGGAATATGATGCATCAGAAAAGTTCTATGAGCAAGAGAAGTCATCATGGAAGCACGGGAAACTTGAAGGGTACAGTCTCTCAAATATGGAAGATACAAGGAGAAGAGACAATGGTCAGACAAATTGGAAGGTCCCTCCAAAATCTGATCCAAAACATTCACACTCTGACGATGGTTTGAATGCCCTGTTGAAGGTGATAACTACAGGAAAGTTAGTGTGAGATATTTACTAATGAAGGCTCAATCCCTTGACCTCTGTAACTTGTCTTGCATATCACAGGAAGAGGAAGACCTTGTAAATGCTCACCGAAGACAAGTGGAGGAGACAATGAATATTGTGAGAGAGGTATGTTGTAATCTGAACAGACCTGATTATTTTCTTCAGGTAGGACCATCCATCAACAATTTTAGGGCACTACTTTGTTCCATGCTCAATTATGGGTTCTCAATTATATGTGGCACGAGTCCTATGGGTGCAGGATCCAGACCGATTAAAGATACTGTTAATCTGAAAAACTACCTCAAGTGGAAGAAAAATTCACTGACCTGTATGTTATTTAGGATAGGGACCCTTAGCTAGTTTATTTTAGTATTCATTCCGTCATTAAAATTATTCAGCCTGTGGATTCCTTTATTGATCTGCTTATTGGGAAGTGATCACATATTTGCATGCCATATTGTTAGGAAGAGGAAACTTCACTTTACCCCCTTGTGGTTTGGCACTTTTGCAGATCACCTCCCAGTCCTTCTAAAATGGCACGTAACCCCAACTTGGTTAATGGACTAAAAAGAGCAGCTAACTCTGTTAACGAAAACATCCAAAAGTCTAAGAACCAGCTGGGATGAAGCTGTTATAACAAGACATTAATTATCCTTCAGCATGGAAATATAGAAATTAAACAACTTGATCTATCATCCTCTCTCACTTCTTTCAGAAACAGAGAAGAGAAGATCAATAACCATTTAAACTCGTTAAATTCCCTGATCAAAATCGATAACTGAAGTAATTTTAGCTTAGTTAAGCTTAACTAAGAACAAGAGAAAGAGAACATATAAAGAACAAAAGAAAATGGGAGAAGGTTATATTTTTATTAAAGAATGATCTGCTTAAATACATGAGTTTGCAACTAAAAACCAGAAATAAAAACAACAAACTTCCTAAACTTTATTTACTAACATTAACAGCTAGTAAATAACAGAAAATCAAAACAAATCTCCTAAAAACTTGGTCAAAGAGTATATAATGCACTGAATATCAGTTGCAGCCCTTAAAACCTGATCTTAAAGACACCTAGCATTCAAACCTGAGCTTGCAGCCTCAGTTTCACATGTGCAGCCACCTCTGTTAGCCATGTCAGCATTCAAATCAGCAACCCTGCAGGTACTGATGCACACATTCAACAATAGCCATTAATTACCCATTTGAATGGATGGAACATAATAGCGTTGTGATCTAAATAAAGAGGACCATTTCCCAAATTCGTAGGTCTGAAGGAAATCAATAGGAATCCTTAAAGCAGATCAAGAAAAACTACATATCACTCCCAAACAAAAACCAGGATCGAACCAAAATTATCCAAGTCAAATTGAAATCAAACCCAACTTTGAAAATCAAAATTTAATTGATATTGAAATTGGAAAATTGTTAACTTGAGAAATAAATTGTTGTCCACCATTGATGTCTGTGCTACACTCCTAGCCAACTCAAATGGCAGTGGTGGTTGATTGGCTGGTATCCGCCCCTGGGGGGAGAGGGGGGACGGAGGTCAAGTTAGGTGGGTGTGACAGTGATGATGAGAGAGAATCAAGTGGACAGAGGAGAAGATAGGAAAAGAGAGGTTGAAGGGTTTTTTTTTTTAAACACTTTATTCCAAACTGAAGAACGTGCACGCGATTAATACGCACTGTTAAATTGGATGAAAAATGTCACGGTGTATTTTATTCCATTAATCACATGAGGGTTATGTGCCATTTTAGAATGACGGGGAGGTGATCTGCAAAAGTGCCAAACCACAAGCCGCAATTCCTCTTGTTAGGACTTATCTTCTAGAATCTGGTATTCAGTAGATAAACCAAGAAAATAATTGCGAAGAAACAACGCAAAAATACTTAGATTTACATGAAAAACCCAAAGATCGGGAAAAACCCTGTGCCGCACAAAATCTACTAAGAGAGCAAAACACCAACGGCATGCAGAAGAGATTGCCCACACGTTTCATACATTGTGCTAGGGCTACAAACTAGTGTGAAAAAACTGATAAAGTACCCTCGATATCATGTGCTGTCCCATTGTAATTCGCCACCCACACTGGCTGGATGTCCAGTACTATTAGGCTCTACATTACCTTATGCACATCACTGGTATGAGAGGTATAGGGTGTTTTGGGGGATTACAAATTTAGATGAAAACATTTATATAATTTGCTTGTACTTGCAGGAGATGAACCTGTTGGTTGAGGCAGATCAACCAGGAAATCAGCTGGATGATTATGTCTCTAGATTGAACACCATCCTATCCCAGAAGGCTGCAGGCATTCTACAACTACAAAACCGTCTGGCTCGTTTTCAAAAACTTCTAAAGGAGCATAATGTTTTGGTATCTTCTTCCGGTCATTAAGGTTTCTATAAAAGTGCGTGTGGATATCAGATGTATTGGGTATCGCTGTAGGAGTCATTGCACTATCAAACCAATAGTTCGTTTTGTCAATGAAGCATTGTGTTTTCATTCAAAGCACAGCTGCCAAATCCAAATCGAGATTCTTGGCAACTGTCGGGATGTTTCCGAGTCTTTTGGAAAAATGGATGCTGTATTCTCTGCCAGGTTTCAGGGGCTATGGCTTTTGTTGTGGGGTTTGAGATCTCATCCGAAATTTAAGGTGATTCTTATTCATTTTCATTTTTTGGACAAATTATAGAAGAAAACCATGCTTTACATGCTATTTGGCATGCCTTGTAAAGCTATATTGCTTTGTGATTTGATAAAAAAGTGATGTTATTGGTGGATTGAGAAATGCATTTCACAGTTGAACTGTTGTATTCAATTGCTTACCCAATTTTCAAACAACGTGGTTCAAGTGTCCATGCGGTTCTTAAAGAAAACCGCGGGGAGCCTCGACCGTCAGAACGACTGGTTTACTACTAATCAAAATTGGATCCTTTATGAACCACCGGAGTTGGTGGTCTAGTGGTTAGTTACACCTGTCCTAGATTCGTCCTTGACTCTCAAGTAGTTATTAAGCAGAGTTCAATTCACGGGATTTTCATGTCTTATTACTTAGGCTTTGGTGTTGTTATTGTAACAGACTACTCTAAAGGAGTCTGTAACTATGGTTAACTGAACAATCCACATTGGGGGAGACTCTTATGGTCATGCGTAGAGGGGGTCACTATCTATTAGTTGCTCCTCTCCCCCATTTGCTCATTAAAAAAATTGTGTAGTTATGGGTTCAAATTTAATGGTAGACTATTTGGGCAAATAATGTCAAAAATTAAGTCAAAACTCAATTTAGTCCTCTTATAATCCATCAATAGGGGCTAAAGAAACGTAGATTGCTACTTTGTGTTGTTGTGGTGACAGACTGTTTTTTCGGGTTAGTAATTATAACTCAAATTGAACATTTTTCAGTAGAGAAATTTTCATAGTCACATTTAGGGAATGACTTCTTACTGGTTGTTCCTCTTCCATTTTTCTCAAGCAAAAAAAAAAATGTTATTTTGGGCTGTATCAAAGTTTCTCAAGCCATTATTGGGAGTCAAAGCTGTCCTTTATTATTATTATTTTTAATTAATTGTGAGTATTTTGTGCTCAATATTTTTCTTTCTTCAATGTGTACCGGGAACAAAAGAAAGAAAGCGAATGATTAAATTCTTCAATTTATTCTCTTAATTTGTTTATTATATAACATTTAAGTGAAATTCACTATGTATAAGAGTGGTTGGTTCTTTATAAATATTTGGTGAATAATAAAATGTTAAATAAATTTTAAAAGAAAAATATCAGACGAAATCATCTATCTTTTGTTTTTTTTTTCTTTTAAAATAAAATTCAGCACACATCATATTTTTCAGTTACCAAATCCCGTGATAATAAATAAACGAAACTCCAAATATGACCAACCATTTGTATTACATCATCAAACTACTCTAACATATTTGTGTCGCGAGAAATACAAGATTAACTACACAGTTAACGGATCAAATGATGTAATATTATAATAATGATACTTTTGGTGAGGATAGTATTGTCATTTGAGTCACATTTCCGAGTTGGTTATTCAACAGACTCATCAAGCAACAAACTTTCCGTTACAAGGTCATTCTCGTCATTCAAGACCTCGCTTTCCCGCTCTTTCTTCATCTTCAAAACATCCTGTCTTCACAATTACCCTTAGCTCTGCAATTCAGATCCTCAATTCTCAGAAGATCAGAAAGAAAAGAGAAGAGAGAGAGAGAGGGTATGATTGTAGGGCTTGAACTGCTTGAGATGGATTTTACCAGGAAATTAAGCTTTCTTGTTTTTCTATTGTGTGTTCTGATTTCCCTCAAGAACCAAAATGCTGAAACCAAGAAGGGTTCGCAAGCTGTGAGTTGGTCTCCATATGATGCGCCTTCGATTTTTGCTGATCCATCACCATCTTGGCCGATGTTCTTGTCGACCAAGTTGGAGAAGAAGGTCGAAGAACCTGATAATCTCGGATCTCTCAGATACGATTACTACAATGAATCGTGCCCACAAGCTGAGCAAATCATCAGAACAACGGTTCAAGAACTGTACAAATTGCGGCCCAATGTTTCTGCTGCACTATTGCGGCTGGTTTTCCATGATTGTTTCGTAGAGGTGATTAACTTGTTGCTTCTGGTTTATAGTGATCTAGGGTTTCTTTGCAATTTTGTGTATAAATTGTTCTGATTGTTGTCGTTCTTCTTTGGTTTTTTGATAATTATTCTTGCTAAGTACGTGATTGCAGTATGCGTTGAAGTAGTTTCTCTTGTTCCACGTTGAACCTTTATATATTTCTATTTTTGATTTATTTTTCCTGTGGAATATATTTGATCTTGTTCATGGTTCTGAAGTAGTTCCTTTTGATTCGTATTTCAGTTTTGTTTATTGCGTGGCAATTTGATTCATATTCTTATGAAATTGCGTGGGGTTTATGCTGATTCTCTTCTCGTGATTTGGGGTTTTGATTCGTAATCAATAATGGCACAGGGGTGTGATGCCTCGGTTTTACTGGATGCCGTTAATGGAATAGACAGTGAGAAAGATTCACCACCGAATGAATCTTTGAAGGGTTTTGATCTGATCGACATCATCAAGTTGGAGCTTGAAGAAGCATGCCCTGGAGTGGTTTCTTGTGCTGATATTGTTGTTTTGGCCGCAAGAGAAAGTGTTGTTTTGGTAAATCTCTCTCTCTTTCACACACACACACACCATATAGATACCTGTCTTTCTGAATTACCTGTCAAATTGCAGGCTGGTGGCCCATTCTACCCATTGCATACTGGTAGGAGAGACAGTACTGTTTCTTTCTCAGAAGTGGCAGCTTACGAGCTTCCTAGCCCCCAGGACGATCTCTACAAGACTATTGCATCATTTGCATCAAGGGGGTTCAATGGAAGAGAGACAGTTGCTCTCTTAGGTATTCCTTTTCTCTTTTTCTCTCTTTGTCTCTCTTGTCTCCTCAGTGAGGAATTTTCTGCTTCTCAGGTTTGTAAGGTACGATAGTTTACCAACTTGCCTATTTTTTCATTCTGACTAATGGATTCCAGCTCTCAATTTCCCCCCCTCCCATTTATTGCTATTCTAAATTTCCAACCTTGAGGCTGTGCAACATATGCTGTTGCTATCTTGAAATGGTGTTTTTGGTTTCTGAGAAATTTGAGGAATACAGACAAATTGAGTATTATCATTCGTAATTGCTCATGATTTTAGATGGAAAAAGCATATCTACCATAGAAGATCCATGGAAATTGGCTACATTGATTTAGTAGGAATCCTCTTCAATCCTATTCTTGCCAATGAAATCCCAAATCTGGGTGTTATATTAACGAGAATATGGTGTTTATATCTGGTAATTTTTTTTTCCCTCCCACTCACTCTAGATCCGTTTGTTTGATAAAAAATGGATTTTGCTATTATGTTTCTTATGCCTTTTTTTCTTACTTTTACTGAAGAAAATTCTGGTCTTCGTAATGAACTAAGTTAATATTTTCTTTTTGCTTTGCTGTACAGGTGCCCACAGCACTGGGATGATCCACTGCAAATTCTTCCTCAACCGACTCTATAACTTTGCCGGGACTGATGAGCCTGACCCATCTATGGATACTGAATTCCTCGCCCTCCTGAGATCAAGATGCAACAATAGTCATGCCTCATCATCCCCATCATCATCTCCATCATCATCATCGTCACCATCACTATCACCGTCACCATCATCAGTTATCGATAGTTTTTCACCGTCTTCCTTGCCACTAGAGACAGGAATGAAGATGGACTACGAGGGGCCAGGATTAGGTTTTGGTACCCTTTACTATCAGAGTCTTCTGCAGGGTAGGGGAATACTGTATGTTGATCAGCAGCTAACAGCAGGGGAAGAAACAGAGAATTGGGTCAGAGCATATGCCTCAGATGTTTCCTTGTTCCGACGTGACTTTGCTCTTGCCATGATGAAGCTTTCCAATCTCCAAGTATTGACTGAACCAAGGGGCCAGGTTCGGCTCAATTGTAGACTAGTGATTTGAGAGAGGGGCGAATTCACCTCTTGTTCAGCCTCTCAGGCTCATTGTTCTGTGCGTGTTGGTATTGCCTTGCATATTCATCTGTTATTCTTCCTGTCTCTGAAGTATTCTGGAATGTTTCCCAGTTTCAGTACTTCATTGGGCATTGTTGTTATGATGTTGTCTTGTTATACGTTAAGATACCATCTGAAATGCAGACAATTATGTTGATTCATTCAATTGAGCCTTGATGCAACATTCCTCATGCCATAACCGAAGTATGTTTGGAACTGCCATATTTTTGTGATGATTTAAGCCTTCAGTTCGGAGTAAGAGTCATTTATTATGTGAAGAAGAATTATGGATGGGAAATGAAAAGTAACTTTATACGAGGAAAGTAACTTTTTCTGTACTATAAAATCCTCTGTGCTCTAAGATTGTGACTACTATTGGATTCCATGCTCTTAACATCAGCAAGCAAGACTTAATGGGAACTATTATAGTTTGTTTCTAGCAAATCCAGACAACTTTTACAGTAGCCGAGCTTACAGGTTTTTGTCGATGAAGGTCAGAAGCTGAATATTTAACGGTATCCCTGTAACCATGCAATTCAGAACTGATCCATCTGTCGCATAGAATTGATCAAAGAAGTGCTGCTGGAAGCAAAATGGCCTACTATCCCGAAGGAAATTTGACTTTTTTTCCCTCTAATAGAATAGTAGAAAAAAACCAGAATTGTTAGAAAAGAGAACGTGTTTTAGTGTTACGGTGAGGATCCTTGTGGTTTGTGTGTCAAGGATTCGAGTTATGGTAACATTGAATTTGTAAGTAGGGTGAGAATGTGTACATTCAATTTTTTGTTTTTAAACCCAAAGTATTAAGAACTTCATGCAATGGAATACTGTTTTAGCAAGAGATAAGTGTTAGAACTCAGTGAGGACCCATTAAGGGTCTGTTTGTTTGTTTGTGGGGTTGAGTGAGATTTGGAAGAATAGTCCAATGAACCTTCAATTTTTTTGTGGGTTGAGGGACATTTGAAAGATGAGATTTGCCAAAATAGTCCAATAAACTTTTAGTTTTTTTGTTTGGTTGAAAATGTAATGCCCGAAATTTAGAGTCCCTCTTGTCCAAGGCCTGAAAGCTACAGTAGGTTGAATCCCAGTTTAGCAAATCCATGGGTTGGATATAGTAGGTTGTTTGGATAGGTAGATAAAAATACATTACCACCCAAAAAATGGATATGCATGGGATTGGATAATGGATATTTGAGTTAATTCTATGCTATTAATCCATAAGCCCCACGTGAGTCGTATGTTTGCTTACCAAACATGGGTTGGGATGGTTAAGGTGATGAATCCCATATAATTTTTTTGTTTTTATTTTTTGGTACATAAAGATGGATATGTTAATAGGTTACTCCACATATTCATTAGAGAGCATTTTCACTCAGCACTACAAACTTATCTGTAGGAGATCCCACTTCATCCACTTCAGGGTGGAAACTAAAGTCTTGTCGCGTGTTTTGAGCGTTGAAAATTAGGTTTACCTCTATTGAGTTGTCATAGTTACGAAGATTCAAACCTAAATATTGAGCGAGAAAAATTGAGTTCTTATTCACTAGACCAACCGCTCGGAAGTAATTTCATGTAAAAATTCAACCGGGTGGGATTTGGACCACAAAAATACAATTTTTTATTTTTATCAAGTTAAAAAAAAAAAAATTCAATGAACACGCAATGGGTTTTGGCAATTGCCCGAAGAACAACCCTGACGGGAATAGACATTCAAAAAAATAAGCCCAATAGATATGGGCCCCAGTGACAGCCCACTATTACGCAAAAACCCAACCCTAAAACCCACGCGGTCGCCTCTTTCATTGCCAGTGGCATATAAAAATGTTGCCCTATAGCGCCGCACTCAACTCCTCCGCCAAGAGCTCAGGAAAAAGGTTTCTCTGCAACTAACTGCACAACAATGGTAAACCTAGATCAACCCTCCTCCTACTCTCGATTTCTCTGTGTTGATGGATTTGTTGACATATTAGTGTGTTAGATGTGATCTCTTTACTGTCCCTGTGGTTGGAACAGGGGAAGGGAACAGGAAGCTTTGGTAAGAGGAGGAACAAGACTCACACCCTTTGTATTAGGTGTGGACGTCGTAGCTTTCACATCCAGAAGAGCCGGTGCTCCGCCTGTGCCTACCCTGCCGCCCGTAAGAGGACATGTAAGCTCTCTACCTTCTCTCTCTCTCTATCTCTCTCTCTCTCTCTATGTGTATAATTGATCTGATGATGTTTCTTGTACCGCAAACATTTCAGATAACTGGAGCCAGAAGGCAATTCGCCGGAAGACGACTGGAACTGGTCGCATGAGGTATCTCCGCAATGTGCCTCGCAGATTCAAGTCCAATTTCAGAGAAGGTAAATTCGAGTCGTGTTTGTATACATCTCTGAATCTGTGTTATAATAAGCTAAATTTTCAAAAAATATTCTTAGTTTCTGTTGTTGTTTTTTCTGTTTTAATTTACTTTTTTTATCTATATTATTTCATATAGATTTTTTTAGTTTATTATCAATAAGCTAATTTCATGATTATGTCTAATGAATCAGGTACTGAAGCAGCTCCAAGGAAGAAGGCTGCGGCAGCTTCTGCTTGAACTGCTGGAGGTTCTACATGGGCCTGATTTTGGGGTACTTTTATATGTCATGTGGTGTTTTATTCAATTGTGAGAACAAGTTAATTTTTGAAACTTCATTTTAAAGGGTTTTCAACCCATTTCTTGTTATCAGCTGTCTTACTTTTTCTTCAAACGAATTGATCTGAGATTTGGATACCTAAGGGTTAAACTATAATGAGTCTGAATTCCCATTTTTCTTCTTGAAGCTTGATTTTGCTTCATGGTGTTTTTTCTTGTGATTATGATGCCGCTTGAAAATTATATTTTGGTTGGTTTGATTCTTAATTATATCCAAAGCAAGTGTGGATACATAAATGATCCAAAAGATGTAAGACTTGAATCAAACCATCCGTTTTGTTTTCCTAGTTGGGCCATTAGTCGGAGGATTGCTTTCTGGTTCTGGTTCTGGTTGTGGATATGAATGTCTGTTTTTTTTATACTCAACTGTTATTCTAATCCATAGTTAGCTGATCAGGGCTAAACTAGCATTTCAGTGTATAAAGTTCCTTTAATTTTCCAGAAATGGTTAGGTTGACTAAGTTTAAGTATTTTTGCAAAGGAACTAACTGATGTGCAAGAATTTGACTGCATGGTAATTCTTCGTGTGGGGATGCTTTGTCCTAGCCAAGCTTTTGCTTGACATAAGTGACTCTGGATTGGATTTATGATTTTTCTTCCCCCTGCCAAGCAAAGAGAGGAATTGATTAAACACTTCTGCTTCCTATGCAAAGGTCCATTATTTTGCTTTTAAGGTTATAAGTAATGTCATCGTGTGTCTTTTTGGTTCCTATTTGCATGTGTTCGATTCTTTAGCTTGCTACCACAGTGTGCTGGAAACCAGTGTCTACTGAAATCAGATTTGTAACTTAAAATCTGAAGAACACTGTTGTGCCGGAGGTAATCTGTAATGTTTGATGGGAATACAGGAATTGAAGTTTGATGTAGGGTATCAAACTAAGTGTATGTAACAAGCTATCAACATTCAGTTGTTTGGTTTGCTTGAGCTGTCTACTTCTGCTTGGGGAGATGCTGATCCTGATGTATTGGTATTTCATTATATCTCTTTACACTGTACCTTCCATGATGTGATATTTTGTATGGTCATTATGGAGCCTTGTATATGCACAAGGGGCTAGAATTCATTTTAACCTGCAATTTCTATATGGTAATGATTTCCTGCTATACAAGAATATGTTCTTGGACAAACTCTACATTTCAGCGAACTAGAAATAACCCAAAAAATATCGGCAATAATCACTACGAATCAACAATTTTCTAAAAATTAAATTCACTAACTCGGGTTGAATTCTCCAAGCTCCTCCATTTTCTTGTGCAAGCGCGTAAAGACTTAAATCAAGCCAGAAGGGACTGCTTCAGACCGTATATCATCCACCTTTGGAAATGCAGACAAGAGTAGTAGCAGCAGCCAGCCAGCCAGCTCAAGAAGGGCGAAAGCTAGTTGCTTCAAACCAAAAGGTATATTTGAATGGGAAAAAAGAATGCTCCCCCAAAACAAGTAAAGGACTCTTGATTCTGCAAGTGAAATGGCCACGCAAACACAAGGTTTCTTTAAAAGGATCGAATCACTCTTCAACTTTTTCGTCACTAATGGAAATCACCAATTTAACAACTTTCCAATATCTCATACGTCTAATAGACCGGTATGCTTTTGGAAAGTTTGATAGAAAATTATACCCATAAACATCGGTGTGAAAGTAGCCCAGCAGCCCTTTGGGCAAAGCCAAGAGGCCCTTGGAACAAAGCTTAGCTTTTCTTGGTATTTTATGAACTTCAATTTTCTTTCCATCTCCACTGGTGTTTTGATTCTCCCATAAGACACAACGGAGAACAATCTCAATGTTCTTTTATTCTTCCTCCTACGAAGAGCATACGCCCACTGTCAGCTGGCCCCCTCTCTCTCTGAATTCTGGATTCTATCCTACGTGGTGTGTATTCATTACTTCGGAAAACGTATACAAATACTTATGTTTCCCCATCCTTAGTAACATAAGTTTTTGGAATAAATTACTTGTTTAACATGCACGGTTGACACCTTAATGATTCTATGGTTTGGTCTAAAATCTGGCTCACGAATCATGAGGACGTGTAAAAATATATGAATGTTTATTATTTTATACGTCTCTAAGAGTCTAAAGTAGGCATGACAATTTTATCGTGTGAGGTGGGTTTGTGTCGGATTTTAGTGGATTTGTGTTAAAAAGTACTCAACCATTAATAAACGAATTGAGTCATCTCAAGTTCATAATGTGTATGAATCATATATAACTAACATGTAAAAGAAACGTGTCTTGTATTTTCTAATTGACTTCACCTATATCCGATTTGTTTATTGATTGTGTTGTGTCCGGTTCATTTATTTACGGAACAGGTGGTTTAAGGAATACCCAAAGAGCAATGCTATTGGGGCTTAATTTGTTGATCTAATTAACTATATTCATTGAATTAACTTAGGGTTCCATCAAATATTAGGACTTGATGTTAATCTTACAATTACAATGAAACCACGTCATTCAGTCAATAAATTATGTCCGATTTTTAGATCTCAATATCATTACTTATACACAATATTATAATTTTGTATCGTGTTAACGGGTTATATCGTATTTTGACATCCTGGTTTAAAGATGAACAGGTGGTTTAACAAAAAACACTTCTTATCCTGGTTCTAAGAATGTTGCCATTGTTTTAATCGATTCTCATTGCCGAGAAGTATGCTAGCTCCGGGTTCAAAGTAGTTCCTCCCAAACCCTTCCATATGGTCTTGGCAATTCTGGAACAGGTAACCTCTGTGCCTACCTTGGCAATCGTATCGATTACGTATTATTTAGGCACGTGGTTGTTACGTAAATTCGGAATAGATGCAATCAGTCGATGATTTTTTTAGAACACATGTAAAATAAGTGGCTGCTGCATGATCACTACGTGTTATAAATCACCTTCTTCATGTTTTCTCCAACATTCTTAACGACACCATGCCCAGTGATCATTAGTATATATATGTGTGATTACCAAGAATGTAAGATGTTCCGAATGCATTATACATGCTTCGCAGGAAAATCTATGGTAGCTCGAATCCTTGGAAAACAACTTCACCTAGCAGGAGCTTTACCTTCATACAATGTAATTGAAATCCAAGGACAAAGTGAACGGTATATGTATGTTCTGTCGCGTGTTCAAATGCAATGCAATTATTTTATGAATCGAGTCTTACAAGACATTTTAGTTTTTATGAGAAATTTGTAACTTGCACCGTGACAAAGCGATATTGTTGATAGATCAAAGACTCGGAGGGAGGAATCCTGCTTGTGGATGTGGATCACGCCATGAATATAACTTCGAGGTTTTAGAGGAGATCGTATCTGCCATGGACAAAAACGAGACAACAGTACTGTGTGCGATGATTTTTGCACAATAGATGAAAAGACAGATCTTCCCCATAGTGAACTCGTATGTCTCGAAAGTCGACGATTCTGTGACAAAGAAAGAATTAAAATGATCAAAGGGGCTTAAGGAGTGGTGATGAATTTCTTCAGGGGCTGTCCGATCGATTCCGGCGAGTCGTGGGTGGTTCTTGACACACAGAAAACAGGTTAGATGGGTGTCGGAGTGTTTTCTGGCATATTTTCTTTGACGATCAAGTCAGTTCTTTGAGAGAGGGGAAGAAGAAAACACTATTTAGTGTTCTTGAGAAGTTGATTTGCATACCTTTGCCCTCAGATTTTTACTACTATTTATACTTTCAAGAACTCATCATTATTGAAGGGTGAGACAGTAGGTATAGCACAGTTATTGGACAGTGCGCCTCCTATTTTGAATAGGGGAGACCCAATTATTAATTACTTAGGCTTCCAAGCATTTAATGTTATTTCTTCAATATAAAGGTATTAAATGGTCGGGTCTTGGGGCACTTAATGCCCCTTTCTTCTCAGCTTCCCAAGCCATCATGGATGTCTCATCAACTGAGGGTTCATTAAATGTCTGCCTGAGATTGCCGTATGTCAACAAGGGTTTTTTTGTCTATTTATCCCTCATCTTGTACTTTATCCCACGCGTGTAACTCCCCTTGGTTGAGTGTCTTGTTTATTCTGCCATTCTGACTTTGTTGGGGAGAGTAATTCCATGATCCCTAGACTAGTTCTGAGATTGATTCGTTATCAATCAGTAACCTCTCCAGAAGCCGAAAACACGTGACAAGACCAAAGTTTCAGTAAGTGCTTTCGGTACCGAGGACACATGGCTGCCTTAGAGAGATGGAGGTACCCTCGACGCCGAGTACACGTGTCTGTGTCAGAGCTACGGGGTACCTTTGGAACTAAAGACACATGTCTTCATTAGAATAAAAGATGTGCCCTAAGTGCCAAGGACACGTATCAAAGATCCAGTCCGTTCTCAGAAGTGTCCCATCAAATACTATTTGCAAGATCGTGCAAGAGATTAAGTCGCCGCATGATGTTGAACAAAGAATTATACAAAAGATTTATGTTATTGTTTAGTGAGTTTAGCTGTGAAGAGCTTGCTATGATTCTGGAGAACAAAATGAAAGATCAAGCAGAGGGCAGTGGTGTACATGGACACAAATTGCACCCTTTTGTGATTATGTTATAAGAGAGTAGACATGTTATGCTATTTAGTGTTAGCTAGACACAAAATGGCAATGTTTTGTACTTAATCCGAAGTCGTTTTGGGAACAACACATGATCTCAACTCAGTATAAGAAAGCTGCCCAATTAGCACGATTACAACTTTAATTTGAGTTTATTATATAGAGTTTCGGATTGTGAGAGATTTTTCTCTTGATAGAATAAGTATGTGTTAAGCGACTCTCTCAAGAAAATTTGCATGGTACGACAACCCATAGGAATTAATCACAGGCAAGCCTAAGTGGGTGCGAACTCTTCTATAGCAAGTTTTGAGCCCATTGTAATATCTTTGTATTCATTTTCTTTCCACATCCGAATTTTTGGATCAAGTATGAATGGAATCAACCCTCTAATTTTAAATTTTTTTTTCTTCCATTGACTGGTTAGAATGGAAGAACTACTGAAAATCAAACTCAAGACCAGATGCGGGTGGGATAATTTTGGTATTTTGAACCTTCCTTGTATATCAACTGAAATCTGTAAAAATTGATTATGTATCTTTCAAATAATAGGCCATTGATTTTTTTTCCCCAAGTTTGTCAAATCTATTTAACATCCAATTAAAGTGGTTTGGTATGGAGAAGGAGTAAAGTTTTGAAAAAGCTTGGAGATAAATGTGTTCAAATTGTCTATAATATGATTTGATTAAATTTCAAACAAAGACAAATCAACTCTTTGTAAAATTGAGTAAAAGTGTTTTGAAAGAAATCTGATCTCCGAGATAAACGCGATAGATTCGTTGATAATTTACATAATTTTTATGTTAATATCCTTCCTTTCAATTTCAAACTAGTTTAATCATTAAATTAACTTTATTGAACCCACTTAGAGTACATACAACCTATGTCACACAATTCGCCAGTCAACACCAACGCTCTCAAGCTCCAAACGAATTTGGCCAAAATTCACGCTCTCACTTAAATGAATTTGTAAACTTAAAAAATTGAATTCGTTTGAAATAGGGATAATTCATATTCGAGAAAATATATCATATTTCAACACTAGTTATTGCTTGTGCCTAAAGACACAGATTAATAAAAAATAATAAATAATAATATATTTATATTCATATTCAAAATCAAATCACAAACATAAAAAAGAAATAAATAAATTTAAGTATCGATTTGTAGTGGGGGTGAAAAGTGGTGGGCAACAGTGGTGGTGATAGAAAACGGTGGTGGTAGTGGCGGCGGCGATGGTAGTAGTGGTGGTGGAGGTGGAGGCGGCCGTAGGGGTGGTGGCGACGATAGTGGTGACGATGGGGGTGGTGGCGGCAACGACAATGGTGGTGGTGGTGGTGGTAGTGATGGTAGAGGTAGTGGTGGTGGTGGGACGGATTCAAACACTATTTTTTTTTTATAAGTATTTATGAGAAATAATTCGTAAAAGTACTTTTAAAAAGTCACTCCAAACACACCCTTAGGGCCTATTTTTCCTATTAATTTAAGGCATTGATATTAGTCGTTAGATTAACTTTAAAGTAAAATTTAAAGAGATCTCAACCGCGAATAGTAAAAGTCATTTTATTTATTTTTGAAATTTGAATTATAAGTTACTTTATTATATAGATTTTTTCGTTTTTTTTTTTTGAACTTCTCTGTATTAATTTATTTAGTGTATATTTTAAAATATATAATTTTTTTTGGGTAAATAAAATTTACAAATTCATAATACAGGAAGAAAACGAATAAACTATTATCCCAAAACCAAAAGTAAAAGAAAATCTTTTCAATTGCCGCAAAAAACACGTAAGATTCCTTACCATCTCCGAACAATTAGCCTTTTTATTACAAGAAGCATCCAAAAGATATTCCATCTAAAAAGGAAAGTGATTATGCCAAGACAGAATTTATAGGTACAAGTCTCGTAAACAACAAAACGATGTCATTTCATTTGGCGGAGAGAGTCAATACGACGCCGTCTGTTAGTTTCCTTTCCATCGTCACTCTCTCGCTGTTGATTCTCTCCATCTCCGGCATGTGTTAAAAAGCTGCTTCACTGATTTGGTCTCTCGCTCCTCCCCCCCTCTCTCTCTCTCTCTCTCCAAGTTCCAAGAAAAAAGTCGGCGATTCAAACGCTCGCCGGTAATCTAGCAACCATAGAATCAGAGGCAATGTCTTTACCGCAGCCGAGAGGATCTCCGGCTCCCACTTTACCACCTTCACCGCCGTCGCCTCTTCCTCCGAACGCCACAACTCTGCCGTCTCCTGCGAACACCGCCACTCCACCATCTCCGGTAAACTTAGTGACGTCGCCACCCCCGCCCCCGGCGGGGAATGGAAGTTCCGCGCCTACTTCTTCGCCTCCGGGACCGTCCAGCAATACTACATTGGTTGCTCTAGGTGTTGGAGTTGGGATTGGTGGGGCAATTGTGCTGGTTTGCGTCGGAATTTTTGTCATCTGGTATAAGAGGAGGAAGAGATGCCTTGGGTTGGTAGGTTCGTGTTTGAGACCTCCTCCCAAAGGACCTAAAGGTGAGAGCTTTATTGTTGTGTAGTGTAACTACATTTTTGTCATCTTATGCTTTTCGGGTTTTATTTCAATGTGGGTCAGGATAACTTCTATATATTTGATGTTGATTATTTCTACTTCAGTATTGATACCTGAATATTTGTGGGTAATTTGCTGGGGCTGTATTTATAATATTCAAAAATTCGGGAATGGGTTTCATTTGGAATTCTTTATTGAATTCAAACACCTAGCATATGATCCACACCTATAGTTTAATGTAATCTGGATTTTGAGCTGGCATAATTTATTCTTCTGGGTGAGGTGCAGATGTGGGACCACTAGCAGAATCTGGGAAATGTCTTTTGATGATAAAACTTGCAACTGAAATGGATGCCTTTGATTTCCTCTAGGCCAAACTGCAAAACTGTTTCTATCTTTTGGTAATGATGAAGGAGCGAGGTTTGATTTGGTTTAGGCTTTATGAATTTGTATGTTGATTCAGTTGCATGGGCCCATGAAGTTATGTTTTTTGGGGAGATGGTGTCAGTTGAGCTGAGTACTAATTGAAAGCACTTGAAATTTATGCTCAAGCACCATTTGGGATTTTGATAGGCGATTACACATTGCTACCAATCGATCTCAATTGAGAACGTTACTTGTTTGGATGATTACCCAGAGTCTGGTGTCCTTGTGTATCTCTGATGCTTATTGCAATAAGTGACTTTGTTTGCTAATGCAGTTTTGTGTTTTTTGTTGCTTTCTCCAGATTACCTTTATGGTGGTGCACATCAGAATCGGCAACATAGTGCTCCTTCGCCAGGCTTTACATCGAATCCACAGCTATATTCAGTGGTGGTTCCCAGTCCCCCACCAGCACCTTCAGTGAGCAGCAGCTTATGTTCTGAGAAATTACTGGCACAATCGTCATCTGGTATTGGTTTGCGTTTCTCAAAGATCACATTCACTTATGAAGAATTAGCACGGGCAACTGACAGTTTCTCCAGCAGGAATCTACTCGGTCAAGGTGGCTTTGGTTATGTTCATAAAGGGTTCCTCCCAAGTGGGAAGGAGGTTGCAATTAAGCAGCTAAAGGTTGGAAGTGGCCAGGGAGAGCGTGAATTTCAGGCTGAGGTTGAGATTATAAATCATGTTCATCACAGGCACCTCGTTTCACTGGTTGGATACTGCATTTCTGGGGCTCAGAGACTACTTGTTTACGAGTTTGTTCCAAACAGTACATTGGAGTTCCATTTACATGGTGAGTCCTGCGAGGCAATTTTATTAACTTCTTCATCAATCACCATCATATTTTCCCACCACAACATGCTGGAAAATATTGTTCTATGCTTACAATTACATAAGCAAATACGGGTAGCTAGAAAGTTCTAATTACTCGTGTGTGGAGTACTAGAATTGTTAACCATATGCGAATTTAGAAACTTCTCAGGACATCACAAAGCTAGGTAAACGTTAGATTCCTATTTAGAAATAGGAGGGGGAAAAAATTCTCAAGTGTGTTTGTGGACCAAGTGAATTGGCAAGTAATAGGGTCATGGGGTGGCCTATAGACCAGTGAAGTTGTGACACAAAAATCCTCCCTGGTTTCTTTCCATCATCTGGAAACCTGATTGATTCAATTAGCTGGGAGTACTTTTTGATGTACCAATCATCCTGGGCTTGTTTAGTGGATTTTTTTTCCTACAATATCTTGTGATGTCTGGTAAATTCTGTTCCTTGATAATATGTCACTAATCATCTTGCTTTACATATAATATATATAGTCATACAGATACATGGTTCATCCAGCTAAATTAGATTAGTCTTTTTCCTATTTTTGCTTTTACTAATCCATCTGAAATGCAATCTCACTCAATAAGCATGTCACTGTTAGTCTGTAATTTGTTGGAGGCAATCCCAGATGTTTCAATGTCCTCTGTTTTTTATTACTCCAATCTTATGAGAATTGTGTAACCTTACAGGAAAGGGACAACCTCCTTTAAATTGGGCTACTAGGATGAAAATTGCTGTAGATTCTGCGAAAGGATTGGCATATTTGCATGAGGACTGTGAGCTTTCAATGCACATGATTCTCTATTGTAGCTGTAGAGTGTAGACAATATTTTTGTGTTTTTTTTTTATAACAGATGCAGAGGCATCAGATATCTTATCATCTGAACATAATAATTCTTCAGGTCAACCCAAGATTATACATCGTGATATCAAGGCTGCAAATATCCTGCTTGATTACAATTTTGAAGCAAAGGTAGTGATAGGACATGCATACATATATACAAAAAAGGGCGACCCAATGCACTAGGCTCCCGCCACAGCAGGGTCAGGGGGGTTAGATGTATGCAGGCTTCGTAACATGCGGAGAGATTGATTCACATGGTTCATAAATACTCTAGAGAATTTTTAGTAAATGATATTTTACTATAATTAATATGTATTTGTACTCATCCCTCGGTCAGGTTGCTGATTTTGGGCTTGCTAGGTTTTATTCTGATACTGATACTCACATATCTACCCGCGTAATGGGAACTTTTGGGTAAGACCACCTTCTTTTGTGCTCACTGAAAACATGTTATGGCTGTGCTGTTCATGCTTATAGATTTGAAGTAACTGACTTGTTAAAAGGACCATACATCCTGAGCATAGTTGTCAAATCGTGATTCGTATCGTGAATTGGAATCCTAAATTTGAGAATCGTGAATCGTAAGATTCGACTCAAAATTTAAACAAAAATAAAAATAATACTACATATTTAAAATAGACAAAATATTAAATATTGAATATTATTGCATTTTAAAAATAATCAATTGACATAATCATGTCGTCTAAATGGAAAGATGCTAACCTTTTACTTCATTTTCATATTTTGTTTAACTATTTTCAAATTCAACAATTTCAAAAAAAAAAAAGAATTCATTAAAGAATCATGGCTATTCAACAACCAAAATAATGACACCCAATATAGATTAGATTACAAACTTGAATGGAAAAAGACAAATAAAAAAATTGATTGGGAGAAAACAAACAGACTAACATTTTGAAACAAAAAATTAGAATCTAACAAGCTATCCATGAAAGAATTGAGAGGAAAAATCAATCAATGATGCGAGAGTGTTAACTGTGACTTTTAGCTTTAGAGAACGCAAGGTGAGTTTTAGACGACGTCAGAGAGAGAGAACGAGCAATGATGTTGAGTTTTTATTAGGGTGTGGGTTCCTTTGTAAACAAAACAACGTTGTTTTACTGTTTAGCAAACAAAAACAACATCATTTTGCAAAAAATTTGGGTTTGCAAAAAAAGTGATTGAATCGTGCGATTCACGAATCGAATCATACAATTCAGGTGCGATTCAACTTTAAAACGATTCATTAAAGATTCTCATATAAGATACGAATCGTTTTCTACCTGTATTGAACCGAATCGTATGAATCGAATCGTGAATATACGATTTTGATAACTATGATCTTGAGCTATGAACTTTTGTATTTTTTTTTTCTTCTGTCAGATTATCTTGAAAATGATCCCAAACTTCTCAAAACAAATTTCTAATGATTCTGTATTCTTTCCATTTTCACAAGCACACTCACTACTTGCAGTTATTTAGCTCCAGAGTATGCACTTACTGGGAAATTGACTGACAAGTCGGACCTCTTCTCCTTTGGGGTCGTGCTTCTAGAGTTAATGACTGGTCGCCGACCTATTGATAAAGCTCATTTCTATCTGGATGGTAATATTGTTGATTGGGTGAGTATTCTATTTCTTCATTTTTCAAAGGTCTGTAAAAATTGTAGCTGTTTGGAAATATCATTAGATGATCATGATATAATTTCAATTTTTAGGTAATTTGGGATGAGAAAACCCTGACTTAAACAAGGATTTTAATAGCAAAGTGGAGTCATATGTAATATCTTTAGTCCTTGGTGTCTTGCTGTTGTGACCTGTCAGACACTGCATATTTCATTTGCTGGGTTCAGATGGTGGTATATCATACTTTTGTAACCTGATTCTCGTTGAATAAATGAGTTAAAGATCAAGTATGCTGAAAGGCAATTAATTTTGTGTGTAACTGATGCCAAGTGGCTATGCCGTAGGACAGCACTGTAAAGCATAGAATAATGCTGCCAATGACTTTACTATGGTGATTCTAGACATATAAAGCATGTAGATTTATCCCATATTGATGTATAAAATAAATGTTGTAGGGTGGATAGGATGGAATTGGCTTTGTTTTAAAATCCATAGGTTGCATAAATTTCACAAAGTTGGTTGCTTTAAGTTCTCTACAGCAACTAAAATGGAGTTTGGGAGTTGAAATAATGGTCAAAGTTCTAGAGGAGAGGATTGGGTTGATTTAAAGCTTGCTCCACTTGGCACACTGGAGTTTAGATAATTTACTTATCTGGTCCTATTCTTAACGAATAAGGTATGAATCACAAGAAATTTTAAGTGGCAAACCTTCAAAATTCTTTTTTCTTCCCATCAATTAAATGCACTCCAATAATCTTGCCTTCAGGTTTAGGCGACAGTATCATCAAATTCCCTATTGCTTTCTACTATCAGCTTCTTCTCAGAACCTGATTGAAGTATGTTTCTGAGGTCTTTTGACAAGGTCTTGTAGGAGATAGAATTCTCCATTTTTTTGCATACTCTATGCACACCAGAGCAGCGATATGGGTTCTAATTATAAATCCTTTCCTTTTTGCTAATTGCTGCAAAGGGTGGACTGTATACAGGCTAATCTCCAGCTCTATTTGCATGATTAGGACCTTTCTTTAGTTCTAGGTCTGCACTTGAATGCCTGATATAATTATAATTTTCTTTCCTTAATTTCTCAAAGTGGTGGCTTCTTGATTTCAAAGCTCAAGTGTCATTAGAAGTAAAATATTTTGTAATTACAATTGTAGGCAAGGCCATTGCTGACACAGGCTCTGGAGGATGGCAACTTTGATGCGATAGCTGATCCAAGGATGCAGAAGAATTATGACTCTACTGAGATGGCTCGAGTGGTTGCTTGTGCTGCTGTATGTGTGCGTCATTTGGCAAGGCACAGACCACAAATGAGCCAGGTACCTTTGCTTGTGCTGTTTGCTAACTTTCTTCTTAACAAAGCCGTATAAACACCAATTTCAGAGTTGAACAAACCTGGCCCTCTCCTGAACATAAATTCATTATGTTTTGCAGATTGTCCTAGTTTTGGAAGGAAATTTGTCTATCGATGATTTGAATGATGGTGTTGCTCCCGGACACAGCTCAATTTATGGTTCTTATGGAAGCTCAGATTATGACACTGCCCACTACAAAGAGGACTTGAAAAAATTCAGGAAGATGACATTAGAAATCCCAGTGCACAATTTAAGTGAATGGAGTGGACCTACCAGTGAGTTTGGTTTGCTACCATCCCATTCAAGCAGCGAAGGTCTACAAACTACTCAAGAGATTGGCTCAAGTAATGAAGGTAAACAAACGATACATAAACCGTAACTGGGTGAAGGTTAAACAAAGTATTTGCAGAGGGGAAGACTAAGAAATTCTCCCGACTTTTTTCTTGGAAGGGTTATCTGTTTTTATGATTCTGCAGTTTGATAGGTCCATTTTACCTAGATCCATTAGACCATTACCTTTCAAAACTATATGGTTACCCTCCATGTAATTAATTCCATTGAAACAGAATGATTAAACAATAAATCCACAATTTTTCCATTTAATTTACCTTCAATCTCTACTTATTTATGGAGCAGCTGGGGATGGCTATATACCTTTGATCTGTGTGGTAATTAAAAATGTTTTGTGCAACAAATTTGTGAAGTATTGTAAGTTATTTATTTTGTGTTTGCATTCGTATGAGGCTTCCTTTGATTGTTCACCTCCACTTGCAACATTGCCATCTGTATTTTGGGTCCTTTCCTCTGCATGTGTTCTTCTTGTAGAGAACCCGAGGATTTGGGTTAGATTCTATTAAAAAGATAAATAATTACAGAACAATAGATGTGACTATGGATTTGTTCTTGACTTCATTTGATTGAGCAAATCCAGGTTGTCAGTGTCATTTGGGTTATATCTAGGTCTTTCAATTGTGTCAGGTGAGATGGATTCATGTCAAAAAATATTTTATTTATATTTGATTCGTTTATTAATCTATGTTTAATGAATTGTGTTATATCGAGTTCGTATAATACATGAATCGTATATAATCGGTACATAAATAAGTCGTGTCGTGTATTTTTTTTTATTGACTTTAATCATGTCTAATTTGTTTAGTGATCGTATTATGTAGGATCTATTCGTTTATGAAACTGATGACTTAAGAAAGATTCAAACTTTCTAATTTTTTATTGTATTAACTAGTCGTGTCATATTTTGACGCCCCTAATTAAAGCATCTTTAACCTTTGACTCAAATATTGGTTCAAATATGAGTTAACATTTAAATAAAAAGTTTGATTTGATACAAAACACTCCAATAAAGAAGCTCAAATTTAAAAGATGACAAACCCAAATTTAAATGAGGATAAATTTAAATTTAAAGCAGTATAAAATATGATCATTAGATCTTTAAAGAAGAATAAAATTTAATCATTGATAATTTGAGTAAATGTTTGAGTTTTTCTTGATTTGGTATGACTTTAGGTATAAAATTAGAGAAAATTCTTAAGAATTTTTTACTCAAATTTAAATTTAAGTCCAAAGGATGTTTAAATTTAAGTTCAAAGTGTAGAAAATCCTTCTACCCTTTGTTCAAAAATTTTAAAAAAGGATGTTTAACTTTTTTTTTTGTTCAACGATGAAGGGTGTCTAAAACAATTTACGTGCACCTTTTTCTTTTCGATTTGGTCAAAAACATGTCATCTACACTAGAGACTAGGATATTCATGAGAGATAAATTTCTTGCAAATTAACCCAAAAGAATGTTTAACTGACAATTAAAAAAGAGTAATGTTATTTAAACCTAAAAATATGACATAATTTGTTAATTTAATGATGCAATGTCATTAGAATAATTGAATTAACACCAAGTTTCAATATTTGATGGGGTTCATAATCAATCCAACGATTATAGTGAATTAGGTCTGTAAATTAAGTTTTGATGGGATCCCGAAAATAATAGCCCAAACCCAATTAATGAATTGCTACCTGGATTAATGAGTTCGATCAGATACGTGGTTGATTTGCTAATAATGCGAGACTCAAAATATAAGTGGTTCACTTTAGCTGAAAGACTAATACTACATCTACTGTAATGAAATCTCTTACTTTATAAGGTCGTATATTTAAATCAGGTGTATACAGTGATATTGTTGGCACTGAGCCTTTACAAGAGTTTATGCTTAGTTCGTTGTGTATCTAGGACTGAGGAATACAGAGGGCAAGATGTTGTGGAGAAGAGAGCTTTGTCTGATAGGTTAACACTGTTCTATTTATATCAATCCTTCTTTCTAGGGTTTCCGATGACATCTTCTACCTTTCTGTTGATTTTATGGGGTCTCCCGTCACTGTCCTGCAACAATCTTTGCTATCCGATGCTGCTCCACTCACGATCTCTGGATCGTTATGAGCACTATCACTCTCTATTTTTAAGAGGGTGCAATTGTCACGGACGTCAGAGATGGTCTCTTTATCCTTTAAACACGTGGCATGGCGAGGTGTTCCCAGGGCAAGGAGTTGACTAGTATTGGGTTTTGCTTTGGCTGGTTGTTGAGTTCGATCTGGTCTATCCTGCGGGTCCTCTGGTGTTATCGGACCTTTTTTCCTTTTGGCTCTCTGTACTCTTCGACGTAGGTTGATTGGGGGCGCTCTTTTGAGTTAGCAAATAGGCGAAAGTCTTCTAAATTTATTGGGCTTTGGGGGGTGGCGGCCCATACCTAAAATTTGCCCCCCCTATCAAGTCCCAATAACATTGCTTAGCTAATGACCACTAAAGAAATAATCTTAAAAACCGTATCCTCGCTGTCTTTGGTTGGAGCGTAACATAGCAATACAATGTACAGTTGGGCCGGCTTTAGTATTTTGTTTCATTTGACTCCGAAAAATCCGGAGAATTTTTGTTCTCTCTCTCTCTCTATAGAAAGACTTTCAATTCCTGAGAAATCGATTCTTTCATACTCTTTTTGATCTCTCCTGTACTAATGGCTTCCCGGAGACGTATGCTTCTTAAAGTCATAATCCTTGGAGACAGCGGGTACTTTTTTTTCTTTCAATTTTCATATCAATTTCATCCGATCTCGCGCGTTTGGTTGCTGGGAAAGTTATTAGAAATGAAATCACAAACAGAAAATCCAATTTACACATGATATGTTATATTCTGTTCTGCTTTCAGAGCTTGATTATTATACTGGGGATCATTTGAGTGAACATCTTGTTTTCTCATGTCCCAAACATGATTAATTCTTAGGGTTGAAATTTATTTTCCCTTCTTGGGTTGCACTTATTTGGGTATTCTTATTTTGATTTTGGACTGAAAATAATTCTCAAAAACAAAAGAAATTGTACCTAAATGTTTGAATTATCAATACATAAACTGGTATTTTTTGGGTCCATTATGTGGAGTTGTGCACTAACTTGGATTTGTTTGATGTTTGGTAGGGTTGGGAAGACATCTCTCATGAACCAGTATTTTCAATACCCTAGCCTTCTTAATTAGCTGTTTTCATATTGTGCTGTCTAGTGTTTGATTCATATGATTTTTTTTTTTTGGGTAATGTTGATTAGGTATGTGAATCGTAAGTTTAGTAATCAGTATAAGGCCACAATTGGAGCTGATTTCTTGACGAAAGAAGTTCAGTTTGAAGATAGGCTGTTCACATTGCAGGTGAGCATTGTGACCTTATATTTCATTTCTTAAACTTACGGCTGTTTTAACTTACTGTTGTCATGTTGTTTCCTTTGGTTGTCTTTTGCAATTTGACAAGTGAATGTATCAATTATCTATGCTTGTCATTCTCCAAGGCATAATTTCATTTTTGGAAACTTTCATATTGGACAAAGGGATAATTTATGAATAATCCAATGTAGCAGCTTTGATAAATCAGTTCAAGAATCAACAACTAACCAGCTTTCTCTAATTAGTACTTTATGCTTATAGAAATAAAAATACAGCCTGCTTTGAAATCATAAAAGAAATAATATGGAGCCTAAGAGTACTTAGAACTTCATTAAGATATATATTCTATAGAGTAGCTTGTTGGATTATGATGTTTGAAGTAAAGACTGCATTAAAGAAAATGAAAATTGAAAAAGTTTTAGGATCGAATGGTGTACCAATTGAGATTTGGAAGTGTTTAAAAGATGTTGGGGGTATTTTGGTTAACTAAATTATTTAACAAGATATAACAACTAAGAAGATGTCAAATGAGTGGAGAAAAAATATGTTAGTACCTATATATAAAAACAAAGGGATATTCAGAGTTGCATAAACTATGAGGTATTAAATTAAGCAGTGATACAATGAAATTTTGGGAGAGAATGATCGATCAACGACTAAGACATGAAACAACTATAACTGAGAATTAATTTGAGTTTATGTCCGAAAAGGTCAACTATGGAAGTTATATACTTACTTAGGATATTAATAAAAAGATATACCGGGAAAAAGAAAGATCTTCACGTGGTTTTTATAGCTCTAAAGTAGGCATATGATAGAGTGCCTAGGGACATAATATGACGTGTTTTAGAAAAAAAATAAGTTACAAATAGATATACTGATATAATTAAGGAGAGAATGTAGTAACCTTAGTTAGAACAACTGTAGGAAAAAGTAGTGAATTTCTAATCATGGTAGACTTACATCGGGGTTTTGCCATAATTATAGATGAATTGGCTAGACACATTCATATGAGGTTCCATGGTGTATATTATTTTCCAATAATATAGTATTGATTGATGAAACTAAAGTAGAAATCAACAAAAACTAGAAGTTTTTAATAGTAGAAAACCAAATAGGGATGTAGTAACGATCGCCCATCAAAAGATGCCCAAGAGCGAACACTTTAGGTATTTGATGTAGTCATCCATAGGGAGGGAGAGATTGGAGACGATGTTAATAATAGAATTAAAGTAGAATGAACTAAATGGAGGAATGTATCTAGTGTACTATGTGATTGACGTATACCCCTTTGGTTAAAAAGTAAGTTTTATAAGACCAGTATTATTTAAGACGTAAAGCGAATCGAATTGGTTAGGTCTTCTGAGGCCTAGATGAGAAGCGAGAGACGAAGTGAGCGTTTTATTAAAATGCGAAATGAATAGTATAAAAAATAAGCAAATATTTTAGTTTAAAACAACATTAACATAAAAACTAATTAAAACAAAGACATAAAAACAATAAAATATAAAATCATAAAACAATAAAAATATAATGACCATTAAAGTAGAATAAAAACATCAGGCTATAAAAACAACACATATTAACAGATTTTCAACAAAAATAAGAAACCAGAAAACAAAGTTGCAGCATAAAAATCTAAAAATAGAGTTCCAACTTCGACCGAACTACAACAAAAACAACAAAACCTTCGCAGAAAAAAAAAAGCAGTGATCGTTGAGTTCCACCATCAACAAGAAGAAAAAAGAGGGGGAGGGAGAAAAAGTAGAAAAGGAGAAAAAAAGCACGAACTTGGTGAGAAGAAATTGAAGAAGCAACCAATCTAGTAATTGATAAGTGGCAGCAGATTGTTTTCTTTAAGCAAATTCAAAATAAAAATCTGATGAATATTGCAACAAATTGTTTTTTTTTGTAAATCTGGTGAGTGTCGCGACTTAAACCCGGTCTCCAGCTACACCAAATCTCAAGTCCATTCAGTTGATTAGAGTTAGTCACTATATATATAAGGGGCAATTAGCTGTTATTAGTTTATCCACTTTGTGGTCCAATTGATCAATCCAACCCATAATAGACAAAGAAAACATCTTAAAAACTTCACTAAGGTGCTCGCTTCTTTGCTTGGCTCGCTTCTTCACCTTGGTTGGCTAGACCTTGCTTTGCCTGGACTGTACGAGGTGACCCGGGCTTGCACTCTCACCTAGGCCTGCTTTTCAAAACATTGTATAACACAACAATTAGACCAATAATGCTTTAAGGGACAGAATGTTAGGCAATTAAGAAACAACACGTATAAAAACTAAGTGTTGCAAAAATGAGAATGTTATAATAAATGTGTGGTAAAATGAGAAAGGATAGAATTAAAATTGAGTATATTTGTAAAATCGTAGAAGTAGCACCAATAGTAGATAAATTAACAAAGAATCGATTTAGGTGGTTTGAACATGTTTATAGAAGACCTAATAAAATGCTCCGGTAAGAATGAGCAATTTGATACATATTAATGGTAATTCGAGAGGTAGAGGTTGACCTAAAATAACTGTGAACAAAATAGTAAAAGAAAAGATACAACAGCTTATGGTCTAACGGAACATATGACCCTTCATAAAGCTTAGTGGACGAACAAGATTCATGTAGCTAACCCCAAATAGTTGGGTTAATGCTTTCTTGAGTTGAGATGAAATATTTGAGACATACATTCTGCCACCAGCAGATTTTATTTTTTAATCTGTGGAAAAATTGGTTGTATTTTCTCTTGCATATTTTCCCATTTTTGTACCACACGAAGTAGGTATGTGCAGATGCTGGTAACATGCCTTCAAATTGTTTCCTTTCCTGTTATTTCATATCTAAAATGGCAAAGGATGGTTTAAGCAATTGAGTTTTTTGCTTCAATACAGAGATGCTGTGAAATAGCTGAATATTTTTTCATTTGGAAGTGTAGACATGGGCTAGCTCAAAAGGTTCACTTTTAATTCTTTGAAGCTAACACTTCCCATATTTTCCCTCCAGATATGGGATACCGCAGGGCAAGAAAGATTTCAAAGCCTTGGCGTGGCTTTTTACAGAGGGGCAGACTGTTGTGTCCTTGTTTATGATGTGAACGTCATGAAATCATTTGACAATCTGAACAACTGGCGGGAAGAGTTCCTGATCCAGGTAATTATGTTCTCCCTGGATGCTCTGGTGGTCTCGAATTTCGCAGAACCGATTACTGAAAGGTAATTTTTGTGGTTTTGTGGTTTTAATGTTCAGGCCAGCCCATCTGACCCCGAAAACTTTCCATTTGTTGTCTTGGGAAACAAGATTGATATTGATGGTGGCAACAGTCGAGTGGTAAGATGGTTACTCTTTCTTTTGACATACTTCCACTCTAATAAAGGGTGCTTTGCTGGTTTCCTCAGATACAAGTACAGCAGTTCCCGCTACTGATTCTGTACTATATTGGCTTCTTTTTAAATTCAGGTCTCTGAGAAGAAAGCTAGGGCGTGGTGTGCTTCCAAGGGAAACATACCTTACTTTGAGACTTCTGCAAAAGAAGGATTCAATGTGGAAGCTGCTTTTGAATGTATCGCCAAAAATGCTCTCAAGAACGAACCTGAAGAAGAAATGTGAGTATACTTTATGCAATGACATGTCTGAACTGTTGGCTGCTATCCAGTTTTCTGTGATTACAACTACTACCTGCACTTCTCTTCCTTTCTTGAACAAAAGAGAAAAACCCCTTATTATAATTGCATAAACAGAAGATTGTTCTTGGGAGACAGAATAGACTATTTCTTTATTTTACCTTTTGCTTTTTTGATGGGGTATAGAGAAAGGTCGTACGTGTATGAACTTAACCAGTATAGGCTTTCCTATCTGCAATGACAGTTAGTTGCTTTAGTGCTTTACTGATAGGTGGTTGTGCATTAGACATTAAAATTAACTGCAATTAGCAATAAGTTGTAGTAGAACTGTTTCTGCATAATGGTGATATCCTTAAAACCCACAAACTTGTTTTGTTTGAGTTTGGAGCAATATTCTGATTCTACCTTCAGTTTGTCCCCTGGTTTTTGAAATAATACAGACGGGAAGTTTTATTTGACTATTATTTTGATTCTACTGGAATTGTTATTGGAAAAGGTAATGACTGAAAAATTTCAGATGCCATTTGAATATTGTCAGGTGCTCCTTGAGGCATTTCCATTCTAAAATAGTAAAACCTCTCCTTGGACCCCAGGAACACGGATTGACTTTATATATATATGTTGATATGTACATAATGCAAAACGTGGATCTTACCTCAGTGTAATGGTTCGCTAAGCACTATAAGTGTGTTCGAGTGGCAGACTGGCAGTTATATTCTCCATGACCCATGTGTAGAGTATCATATTGTGACTTCAGTGCTAAGCTCTGTAATCTATATTGTAGTGTATCATGTGCAATTTTTCTTTTTTCTTTTTTCTTTTTTTTTGGTAAGATCCTATGAATCACATTCAAGTAGAAACTTTGGTCAGTGACAATATATATTCATGGAGTACTAACAGAAGGCTTGGAATTTCTGTTTGTTGATTGTGAAAGATATCTTCCTGACACCATTGATGTCGCGGGTGGAGGGCGGCAGCAAAGATCAACAGGGTGTGAATGCTGAAAAGAGAGCTTTGTTGGGTTGGTTTCTGGCATTACAGCTACAACTGTTGGTAGTATACCCTTCATAATTATCTAACTGCATGTATCAATTAATTGTTTCCGGAGAATTGTCAAGTGGGAATGGGTGTTATTAGTACATATAACAATTTGATTTGTGTTGTGACTGTTTCACTTTATGTAATCTCGTCTAAGAATATGAACACATTTTAATCTGATATCATGTTCCATGTTCCACCTCAGCTCGAGACATGCCTCTTATCGTGTTTTTCTCCCATTCTCCAAATTGAATAAATATTTGTTAGTATAGAGACTAACATTCTCATCGATAAATGGTGCATGAATGGTCCCGATCCTAAGTTTTAGATGGTGCATGAAGATCCCCGATTATCACCCTCGTATAGACACCAGACTGTTTGAAATGAACGGGGAGAGTTCAGTCCGGTCTGATTAGAAGTGCTAAAGTGAGTGAAACGAAGGACTTTAGGGGAAAAAAAATGTAGGTGCCTCCCAGCTTTTTTAAGCTTTCCTCTTCATAATGTTGTGGACATATTTGTCCATATGTTTACCAAGGCACGCACCTGTATTAACCATTACGTGACAGAAGTAAGGTTAGAAATGGAAATGCGCGAATTCTGTCTATAGCAGAAACGGAGTGCTCAAATCAAATAATTGTCTGCTACTACAGTGCTACATCTATGACTTTTATCAGTTCTATGGTTAGGGTGAGATCTCCCTCTCTCTCTCTCTCTCTCTCTCTCAAGATTCACAGCATTAAGGTTAAGAGTTTCCGGAAGAATCAACCATGAAGGCAACAAGTGAAGCTGAGGGACTATTAGAGATGATCCGGCCACCACGTCTCGAAGACGCCGGCCTCGAGGACTGTGCACTGCCACCGGAATCAATCCAAGAGGCCTTTCTTAAAGCCGCCATGTCCGTAAAATCACAAGCCGCTTCAGTTTTCTACGCATCAGATGACGAATCTGAAGCCAATTCCGTTAACGATCCGCGGCCCAATTTCGGAGAATCGCCCGATGCGCTGGTCGGAGTTATGCAGGGGACTGAGCCTCCGGGATCTAGCGATACCAAGAAGGGTAGAGTTGTTGTTCCCGAGGTTGTGTCTGATGAAGGCGGTGCTGTTGTGGGCGATGCGAAGAAGACGGTAGGTGAGGTGGTGGGACCGGTTGTGCCGGAGGGTGTGAAGGCTTGTGTTGATGGGTTGCAGGGTTTGGAGATTGGGAGAGAAGGACCGTGTTCAGAAGGGTAAAAAATTGAGGGATGAAAATGATGGTGAAGATGAGAGAGAGAGAGGGTGAAAAGCCAAATCCTAGCAGAAGGTTTTCTATGAATTAATAGGGTCAGTCTACGATTAAATAAAAAAAAATGACAATGTACCGATAGTTATTATGTTTAATGGTATGATTGTAACTGATTGAGGAAGATCGATCATGATTAATTATAAGATATTTTCTTGAGTCACGTCGGGATTAGAGTATGGGTGGCGCTATTTTTACTTTACAAATTTTTATTTTAATTCTATTTAATTTCTCATTCTCAAACTATTAACTTTACTTATTTCTATACTCATCTTATTAGTAACTAAGTCTATCTTATGTTACATATACTCCATTAATAATTAAACTCATTTATTTTATGTACACTTTAATGAAAGAAATCATCTTTAAAAAAAAAATAATGAAGGAAGACAATTAATTTGAATGCATAAATTTATATAATAAATTAGATAGGTGTTTAAACTTATGAGGATATATCTCTCAAAACAATTTCACACACCCAACACACATTTTTCCCAAAAAGATAAACCTATATAATAAATCAGATGAACGTGTGGGGGTATATCCCCAAAAAAATTTCACACCCCCAACACACATTCCCCCTTCCCCCAAATTTTAAAAACTCAACACACATATATTTTACAAACACACATTCCAATGCATGCACAGTATAATAATTTAATGTACAGTGACTTTAATCACGGGGGTATCGCTAATAATATATTTACGAAAAAAAAAAAGAATAAAAAACAAAACTAGTAAAAAAAAAACCAAACATAATGAAATAAATAAAACAACAAGAAATAAATGAATACGTATAATGAAACAAGAAAAAAGAAAACAACAAAACAAAAAAAAGAAAGAAAGACACAGACCGAAACAAGAAAAAATAAAAGAACAAAAAAAGGAAAAAAAACAGAAAGAAAGAAAGAAGCAACCAAAACAAGGAGGAAAAAAATCAAACAAAAATTAAAGGAACAAGTAAAATTACAAGATGTAAACGAATATGAAAAAAAAATAAGTAACAAGCACAAATATAAAATCGAATAATAAAAAAAATAACAAAAATAGATGTAAAATCTTTACAAATAATAAATAATCTGAAAGTATATATATATATATATATATATATATATATATATATATATATATATATATATATATATATATATATATATATATATACTTTCAAGGATAAAAAATAAAACATGACAAGGATATTAAAATATGTCGAAAATAATGAAAATTCATATAACAAATATGAAATTAAATATATACTTAAATTGAGAAATATTATTAATTTATATTTCACTGAAAAAATTTATATTAAAAAAATAATTTTTGTGAGTGCATGAAAAGAGAGAGAGAATGAAACTATGACAAAATATAGAATGAAATAGATTTAGTTATTAATATGGTGGGCATAAAAGGGACGAGGTTAGTAGTTTGATAATGAAAAATTAAATGGGGGTGAAAAATAAAGATTTACAGAGTGAAAATAAGTTCACCTTTAAAATATTCAAAATGAATAAATTTTTCGCGATTTGACTACAAGAAATTATTAAGATTCAAATTCACAACATTTGAATTTATAGCTGATTTTTATTATCACTTGAAATAAGAATTGTTATTTAACTTTTAAAAATTGTAATTTTTATGGTCAATTTTAATATTTTAGGGTCAATTATATTTTTTATAAAATATAACTTGTATCTTAAAAAATAATAAATTATTCTTAAAAAATTATAATTTTTAGTACTACATGTACGATGGTGCCGTAGTCATTTCCCGTTAGTACGATTGGGTTTTGTATGAAGGGACGATTCTGTTTTGCAAGTAATGAGTTGAACGGATGGGTGGAATCTGACGAGGAGGATGATGATGATGACGTGGTTTCTTTTACAATTTGGGTAACACTACTATCCCGCCAGCTACTTTTCGTTACCGTACCGAAAAGTAGCATGGCTTATATGGGTGACATGTTTCTTTATAAAACTCTTTAAAATTGATGTAATTGGTTATTTTCCGCAGTAACTATAAGACATGTAATTAATCAAAATAGTTGTAGTTAACCAAAAATTATACCATATCCAGTTCAATTATAATCCATCGATTAAACTTGTATCAAATAGAGTTGTACCCGATAATCTAATTATTAATATCAATTATATATTTAAGAAAAAATTATTTTACTTTTACTTTACTTATGTATTTTATTAGGGGTGTCAATTTTTTGACTCGAACCAAACCTGACATGAACCCGAAAATTACACGATTCATTGACACAAGTAATCAATGAGTCAAATTAAGGTTCGACACGAATAACAATGGGTACTGTAGATAGAAAAAAATTATTTAATGAGTATTTTAGATAAAAAAAAATAAGAATTTTATAATTTTTTAAATAATATTATATTAATCGTTATCAAATTAAATAATTTTTTATTAACACCCCTATATTTTATCTTCAAAAAAAATAATAGTTGTGGAATAAAAATATTAGTTGAAGGTGAAATATAAAGAACAAAATAAAAATATTGTTATACTTCATGGGTGTAAGGGTAATTTAATTAAGACCGGTCCAGGGAATGGAAGACTGATCATGTATTACATATTACATTTTTATCCTTTTTATATTATACTTTTAACCTTTTAATATTATAATTCATCAAATTAACATCTAAAATCATTCAATAAATATTCAATTTATCACATCAATATGCAATTTCATCTAATTAAAACTCAATTCATCAAATTTACACAAAATTAACATTCAATTTTTCAAATCAACATTTAATTTTACCTAATAAACACATAATTCATTAAATTAACATTAAAATTCAACTAATAAACATTTAATTCGTAACATTCAACCTCATCTAATTTATATTCAAATTCATTCAATTCATAAAATTAACGTCGAAAATCCTTAAAAAAACTAACATTCAAATTCATAAAATTAACATTCAAGAGGAGTAATGGAGGGAAGGCAAGAGGAGTAACAATTTTTAGGCGGGAAAGTGGTTGGAGGGAGAAATAAGGTTTTTGTGATTTGTGGAGCATAATATTCGGTTAGAAAATAAAATTTTAATATATTGTAATATGTGGGTGTGTAAGTGTAATTTATAATGTGAATATTAGGACCGATTCAAGGCATGGAGGACTGATCCTGGGTAAATATCACACTTTTATCCCTTAACTATTACACTTTTATCTCTTAAATAATCAAAAAAATTCCCAAAAATATTCAATTTTTTATAAATAGTCCCATTTTTTATTAACAACAAATAAATAATGAATAAAATCAAGAATTGTAAATAATGCTTCCAACTTATAAAATTTTTGAATTGAGTTCCAATTTTTTGGTGACTCTCATTCGACTAGATCAAAAAAATCCTACTATCCAAAAAATATTCAATATTTTTTAAATAGTCCCATTTTTTTATTAAGAATAAAATCAAATAATTAAAAGAATTTCAATTTATTTATTTGGTTAATTCTAACTTTTTTGGTTAAGGTTCAACTTTTTTAAGTAGGAGTTCCAACTTTTTGGAGGTTCCAACTCTTGGGTGGGTTGTAACAGTGGGTTTTGGGAGGTTCCAACTGGATTCCAACTTATTGTGGTAGAGGTTCCAATTGGGGTTTCAACTTTTTGGGGTGGTTCCAACTTTTTCAATTGGTGTTCCAATTATTTTGGGTACGACTTCCAACTTTTTGGTAGAGGTTCCAATTCTGGTGGGCGAGTTCCAACTCTGGGCTGGGTTCTAACAGTTGGTGGGTTCTAAGGGGGAGGGTTCCAACTTTTTTAGGTAAGAATTCTAACTTTTTTGGATAGAGGTTCCAACTCTTGGGGTAGGGGTTCCAACTTTTTTTGGGTGGTTCCAACTTTTTTGAATAGGTTTACAACTCTTTTGGTGGTTTCAACTTTTTTGAGGTTCCAACTCTTAGGGGGTTCTAACAGTAGTTGGGGGAGAGTTTCAACTTTTTTGTTAGGATTCAAACTTTTTTGGGTAGAGGTTCTAATTTTTTTTGGTTAAGGTTCCAACTTTTTGTTATGAGTTTCAACTTGTTGGTTAGATATTCCAACTCTTGGGGTTCTAACTTTTTTGTGAAGGGGTTTTAACTTTTTTGGGTGGGTTCCAACTTTTTTTTGTTAGGAGTTCAACATTTTTGGTTAGGATTTTCAACTTTTTTGAATAAGGTTCCAACTTTTTTTGGTGGATTCCAACTTGTTTGGTTAGGGGTTCTAACTTTTTGGTAGCGGTTTCAACTCTTGTGGGTAGAGTTCCGACGTTTTTGGAGGTTCCAACTCTTGGGGTTCTAATAAATAGGTGGGTTGTAACAGTTGAACAGGGTTCCAATTTTTTTTTTTTAAGGTTACAACTTTTTTGGTTAGGGGTTTCAACTTGTTGGATAAAGGTTTTCAACTCTTCGGTAGGAGTTCTAATTTTTTAGGTAGGGGTTCTAACTTAATTGGGGTAGGTTCCAACTTTTTTGGTTAGGAGTTCAACATTTTTGGTTAGGGTTCAAACTTTTTTGGATAAGGATTCCAACTTTTTTGAATGGGTTTCAACTTCTTTGGTTAGCGGTTCCAACTCTTGTGGGGAGGGTTTCAATGATTTTTGGAGATTCCATGTAACACCCCGCATTTTCTTTTATATATGTATATAGATATATAGTAAATAATTGTTGTAAAAATGGGGATATGTGTAGTGATGTGTGTTTGAATTTGGTAGAATGAAAAAGGGATGAACAGTGCACTGGATGTAACATCAAGCTCGATTTCGACCTTGATGCAGTCCATATCTCTCAAAACTTAAAACATGAAATTTGTAGATCTCTCTCTTAGGATTTCATATCACCTTGAATCATCTCAATCGGAACTAGGAGGAAGGAGTTATGTCCATATTACGAAGTAGTGTCTACACTGTCCAAAAATCTGTCTGGCAGACTACCTTTCGCTAATTTCATCATAACTCTTTATTGGAAAGTCCGAATTGTGCACCGTTATTTTTGTTAGAACCCTAACTCGTATATCTTTCCAACCATATAGGTTACACCTCCTAGAAATACCTGAGTCAAATCAGTTTATTCTATGAAGTTGACCAAAAATCTGCACTATGGTGCTCCTTGGATAGTAAAGGGTTGTGCTTTCTTATTAGACCTTAAAGGTGTAAAACCCCATATGTTTAC